ACCATGTTATATACAATATCAAATAAAGAAATAATGCTTACCTATGAGGGGAAACCCAAAAAAAAAAAAAAAAAAAAAAATTTCTTGAAAAATTAGTTAAGAAAAAAATTACTAATAAAAAAACTAATTCTTTTTAAAGATTAAAAGAAGAATTTTGTTTTACTGTATTAATATAAGTTTTTTTTTAAAAAAAATAAAAAATTTTATCTCTATAGAATCACAATAATTGTATAAAAGTAATGGTCTCAAATAAGAAACTGGTTATAATGTTTTAGATTAATAAGAAATATCAAAATAAAATAAAATATAATATTTTTTAATACATATGTATAAGCATTTTTTGCAATAGAATTAATAAAATTATATATTTAATACATTACTTAATATATTACATATTTGTTTTTTACAAAAAAAATTTAACAAAAAATATAAGCTTGTTTAATTATAAAAATAAATAAATAAAATAATAATACATTATTTTTTAATTCTTATTTTAATTTAAAATTTTCTTTTTTAAAAAAATTTACTCTTTAAAAATTTTAATCACTTATAATAAATATACTATTATATTTTATATGTCTAATGATATACAAATTTGATTCAATGTTTTAAATCTTTGATGTAGCTAGCAAGTGCATTACTTTATTTACACGTAATGAAAAAGAAAAAGAAATTCAGTACTTTAATGCGCTAACGTAAAAAAATATTGAACTATTAACAATATCTAAAACAAAGAAAATAGATTGAATCAATTATTTATAAAATTTTATTGGTGATCGTAAACATTTTTTATGATTCGCGAGTTTCAAGATTCTAAAATGTATTCGTTATCACGTGCCAATTCAGCTAGCCTGGTTCTGTTGTGAAAAAACATTCGCGAAAGGTAAAAAAATAAAAGAGACACACGAGACTTAGGAAAGGTTTATAAAAGAGTAGAAGAAAATACGGAAAGAACAACATACTTTAGGGTTTTCGGAACTATTCTTCCACCGTTCTGCGACAAGCTTGAAAGCCGCCTTATGTTCGAGATTTGGGTTTTCGGCTTTGACTTTTGGCAACTCAGTCTTCATGAAGGCGTTGTATGGAGAAAGTTTTCTCTTACCACCTTTACGTATTGAAATAAAAAATATATATGTATATTTAGTAAATAAGAAAACCAACTATATACATATACTGTATATATAACATATGAACAGTCGCGCTATAGTAAACGCTTGCAAGTAGAGTATAGAAGTAGCAGAAAAAAGCGTGAAATAACGTGGAGCTAGGGGTCGGCTGTCCTCTCAAAAGTGCTCTTCGTAGAAGAAATTTGGAAGGACACGCTCCTGAATTAAGAGTGTTTAAAATTCCCTTATACCGAAGGGAAGAACATAAAAATAACGAAAATACTCACCAGTGGTAGCCTTTTTAGCAGTCTTGGCTTTAGGCATTGTGAAATTATTAGTTGAATAGAAGAAGTTTTGCAAGATGCGAACGTCTAGAAATAATTTTGTAGCGAGAAAGTAAGTTTGTTTGGGGGTTTAAGTTGAATATTTTTTTTTCGTCTATTATATATGTGGATATGCGGCGGTATATCGGTATATGGGGTGTGTCTTATTTTTGTTGTTTTCATATCATCATATCAGTGTACCGTGTCCATATGTATCATTATGGATGATATTTGTGACATAGATTAGTGACAGCCTTACATATGAACACTATTATTATAAATAGATAGATATTTATTGATATTATGATTTAAAATAATTATTATTGGCTCACAGCCCAGTAACAGTGAATTGCTGCCTTTATGATAGCGAATATATAGTAACAAGTATTAATGAGAAACAGAAGGCACAAAATTTATATTTAGAGATGATTGGCAAGTTCCGTTATAGTCCCTATTAGAAAACTTTATCTCTAAAAATAATCTATCCCGTCGTTAGTTCTTATCCTCAAAATTTTCCTGCGCCACAATTTTATTATAAATGCACATTTGTACATACGATGCAAAACGATAATGTTAGAAAGAGCAAGTTCATACCAGATGGAATTGTTGAATGAAAAAATGGTATTCTACTATTTATCGTGTGCTAGCGGGAAGATATTGTCATGACCCTATGAATCAAACCAGTAACAAAGCCTTAATCGAACACGATGATCGTTTCAATAAATGACCTATTATAATATACAAATATGCTACATAAGAAGTGCGTGCACTTGTCAAGCCGCCACTCTGGGCGACGACGTCGCATTATTATTATTGATACATACTATTAAATAAAAAAACTAGGCAATTAAATAAGACACAAACATTTAGGGTGCACAATTAAATCCCCAAGTTTCATATTAGGCAGGTTGTATCCAAAAATCTACCCACACTAATTACACAACTCCTTTCCTTTCTGCGTACCAAAAAAAAACAATCAAATAATACTTCGTAATATTTTTTTTTTTTTTCGAATTTAGTCAATCCGGGTGCACAAAAAACTTACGGGGGCTTCTTATTCGTGCTCAACACTATTCAAAGACTCTATCATTGACTAAATGTAGCAATTCCTTGTGTGAAATTGCCGACCAACTTTGCCTATAGGCGTGAAATGAAGTTCAACCTCGTTTTTTTTATAATATCACGAGTTTCCACTACTTATTGTTACAATTTGCCACATGTGTTCAAGCAGTTTGTCCGTATAAATCGGTCCAGTCATGTGACAAATGCTTTGTCCGGAATATTGTTAGCCAGAATTGGTATTTTATTTGATAAAATAAATAAAATAAATAATAACAACATATATCGTATTATAATTTCTTGTTTAAATTGAAATAATATACATCTATATAGTATAAAGCTTAATTTAATTTAATTAAAAAAAAAATAATAAAATTAATAATAATAAAAATAATATTTTTTTAATTTATTATACAAAATATAAATAAAAATTTTAGAATTAAAATATATCTAATAAATATATTTAACAATATACAGTCTGGTTTAAAAAAAACTGAAATAAATTATATTTCTAATTTTTTACTTATAATTTAATAATTGATAAATAATATACAGTATGAGTCATATATTTTTGAAATTTTTTTAACTTTGTATTTTATCTTAATATTAAATAAAAAAATCA